GAAAGCCGTGGGAGTTGATGGAAGAAATAGACATTAAGTTTTAATAATAGCAATTGCCTTCATCAGTGTCTACTTTTAGTTCTTATTTCTTTTCAATGATAATAAATAAATTATATAATGCCTTAACGTTTGATATATTTAGTTTATTAAAAATAAATAAATATTAGGGGTTAAAGTATGAAATTGTCGATTTGTACTGAAAATTAAATTTGATTATTTTTAAATTTTTAATAAATTTATTTAATTACATTGCTGCCATCTAATAGGAAGATCATTTATGCCTTTGCGATAGAACTCTGACAATCTAGATTGCACAAACTGTGTGAAATTATTTTATACTGCGTCCTGGAAAGAAAACTTCTTGTCACGTAGACAATTGTCCAAATCACGAAAAATGGTAGTGCATTGGAGCAAGGTCTGGCGAATACGGAGGATGACAAATGGATTCTAACTGCAGTTCCTGAAGGGTCCAAACGGTTTCTCGTGCTATATGAGGTCTCGCGTTGTTATGAGCAATAATGTGAAGATCGATTCATGAGTCGGGGCTGTTTTACTGCTAGTTTTGCCAACATTGTTCGGAGTACGGTACAATAGACATCTGCCGTTATTGCTTGATCAGATCGGAGAAAACTATAGTGAATAACACTATGTTGAGACCACCAAACAGTTACCATTACTTTTTTATCGGTAAGTTTTGCTTTAGGACACTGTTGTGGCTATTGACCAGGGGTCAGCCATTACTTTTTTCTTTTACGGTTATAAAATCCACTTTTCATCACATGTCACAATATTCCAATATTCCAATATTCCTTCATTTCTGTACCGATTCAACATGGCAACACAAGTTTCAACAAGTGTTTCTTTCTGCAGATCAGTCAAATCTTGAGGCACCCATTTTTCGTATTTTTTATTTTATTTTATTGTATTGACGCAAATGAGTTAATATTGTGGGTAAGGTAACGTTAAACCATGCCGCTAATTCCTCGTTAGTTTGACTAGGATCGGCTTCCACCATCTCTCTTAATTCATCGTTATTCACCTGTGTAGGCGGTCTTCCTCGTGGCTCGTTCTTCAAGTCGAAGTTTCCATCACGAAAGCGTTTAAACCAAAATCGCACGGTGCGTTCATTAGCAGACCCCTCTCGAAACGCAACATTGATATTGCGGGCTGTTTCTGCCGCGTTACTTCCGCGTCGGAACTCGTATTCAAAATCACTCGAATTTTCGCAGTATCCATCTTTTTTCTCTAAGTTGAATAACAAAAACAATTGAAAGTTATCAATTGAATATTCAAATGTTTCAAATTTTTTATAAGAAGAACATCATAGAAACCATGTGAAAAAGTTTCTCTCGAAAACCTCAAACCATGAAGATTCTATGTCTATTCAAGGAACATATTACAATAAAACGGCAATTTCATACTTTAACCCCTAAGATTCGAAGATCAGTAGCTTAAGCCTCGTATTATGGAATATCTTAAACTACAAGGGCAAAAGACAAAAGTATATATATTTCTAAAGTATATATATTTCTATTTAATATATATATCAATTTTTGAATAGGTTTGTCAGGAAAATTTCCATACAAAAGGAATCTGGGATATTCCCATTTGGGAATTTTCCAACAATTTTCTTTAAGTCTCTCTACCGGTTGTCTCTACCAAGTAAATACAAAACTACCTTTATCTCATCTGATGATAAATGACATTCATTTTGACTGTAAAGAGAGGTTATATCAAAGGTTTTGGGACATATGGAGTATGAAATTTGGCGCAATTATATTTTTTTTATTCATAATAATGCTTGAAAACTCGTTAAAAGTAAAAAATAAAACAATTATACACACCATAATGACTTTACCACATATTTACTGAATATTGACCAATAACAAACAAGTAAATTTTTATCTATCGTAATATTATAAAGAGTAATGATTTAATTGTTTGTTTGCATCCGATAGGCTCCAAAACGACTGGACCGATTTAAAAAAATCTTTTACCCACAGGAAGTTATATTATATGCAGAGGACATAGCCTATATTTTGTCCCGAAAAACAGCACACATTAGTAAAGATTTTATGTTAAAAAGGTAACTAAGTTTTGCATATATTTTTTATTTATGAATCTCATAAATTATGTAATCGTGTCATTAAATAAAAGTAACCAAGCATTTCTTGTTACACCGAAATACAACGACAACGTTTTAATGTACAACAATTAAATCTTCATATTTCTATTAATATTCGTATTAAAAAAATACAACTAAGAATCAACATAAATTAAAAACATTCGTTAACAATTAAAAATTATTTTGGAACAGCTCTAAAATTACCGCGTAAAACTTCTGTACGATCGAGGCTATAATTATAATTTACTGCCCTAATTTCGTAAGGACTTTCACTATCACCGAGTTTTTGAGAGTCGACAATTTTGCAGTTGGCATTTAAGACACTTCGAAAGCAATTTTGTGATTGTATATGTATTTTACTGTATATTATAATTGTGTAAAAAATGATAATTTTCAAAAACTTCTATCAAACTTAGTTAATGTAGCATTTTAGGCCGATCATCATAAAAATCTTAATATGATTTGAGGTTAAGTTGCGGATGAAAGCAATTTGTAAATGAAAATAATATGAAGACGTGTCATGTCATATAATCATTTTTGTAGTTTTTCCGTTAGACCAAATTTTTCTTAATGAAACATGCTTAAAAAATCCACTTTGTTCCCTGGCGCTCTGAGATGGGACTTTAACCCATGACATTTCTCTGCTCTTACCACTGAACTACCCAGGACTTTACAGGACTGACGAATTTTTCAAGCACTTGTTACTTTTTCGTTATTACGGAGCGTATTTTCATCAGCGCGTATTTTCATCATCAGCGTATTTTCATCAATGTTCAGGCAATATTTTTCAGTCAGCTTTGTGAATGCGAAATTGATCAGATATAATTATTATTTTTTTTATTAAAAGCCATTGATATGATTGATTGATGAAATACTGAAACAACGAGTTGAGCTAACTGGGAATCAAATTTGGGATCTTATACACGATGGTATTATCGAACATTCAACCACATATATCAGAAATACATTGGTCTGGTGTAATGGTCATGACTTTTTGTTATTCAAAAAACTGAATAATCTATTAAAAGACAATTAAAATCAAAATGGCACATATATGATAGTACTCATTATATAAAACAGTATAAATATATATAAAACAATCATTCAAATTAACAATCGCCAAGTACTAATAGGACTTCGTTTTATTCGTCGCCAACTGAGAGCTCAGTTACACTTATACCTCAGTAACATAACAATTATACCAAAATTATGAAATGTAATAAGTAATCAATTAGAAGTTATCTATTAGGTCTGAAAGGCACAACAAAGAGGCTGACAGCAACGACAGAATAGAATGATATTAGTATAGTTACGGAACTCTATAACACACTAAATTTTGTATAAAAATCGTATTTAATTATCGAGTACTTTTCAAGTAAAAATATATTCACAAATTTTTAATGTAAATAAAATCATTTGCCCCGTAGTTACACTATGCCGTCAGTTGCCACTGATTATATTTTCTTAACTAACCGATATCTATTCTTCATTTATCTGGCAACTGTTTGTATTTACCTACTTAAAAAAACATTGGCAAGAAAAGAATAAAAAGAAAGCATTCAGTCTGTCAATGACAACCAATTAACATTGTCATAAAACTTATATGGGCGTTAGTTTATAGATACTCTTACAATTAATTCAATATATCGTAAAGTTCATTGTGTCCTGCCTTCCTCTGCAATATTAAGAAATATTTAAGTTGTATTAGGATAGAAGAGAAATTTTTCACAAATTTCGCTAAATATTATAAATCAATTTTAAAAATACGTCATCGGCTTAGAGTATATAATGTCAATAAAATAAGCACTGTCAGCTCTTTAGGAAAATAAAATAATATGATTGTTATTTTAATTTTGTTGCAATGGTTTTTAATTGTTTTTAACTGTTTTTAGACCTCGAGTAATAAAAAATCTTATATAAATATAAATTCACTAGTCGTTTTCCCGCGACTTCGCCTGCGTAATTAGCATAAGTAATCCAGGTTCAATCGATCCAGTCAACGATTAACTAAATAGATAGTAAAAATCATATCAGCAAAAAAAAAAGTAACGAATGCATAGGCCGAAAGAGTATTAGCTCTCTTGGAAATTTAAAATGCTTTTATATATTTTTTTAAGTATTTTAGTAACAAAAGATGTAATGACATTATTAAACTCATTTACACGACGCGTGAACTTACTGTTTTTCAAGCTTACAAAGAAACTATTGATCCCATTTACACTTTTTATGGAAATATACAAACAATAGAGGTTAATTATAATTGTTTCACTATTGACGAAAATATCGTGGAACAAATATAATATCCTCCTTTTTAAATTCGATTAAAATTATAATTGCCTACAGCAGCTCCGACTTTGAAACTTAACATAAATATTCCACATAACTTTTCCTTTGATCTCAGTCAAACTGTTTTCTAAGCTATTTTACCTCCTCATTAAAATGCACTAAAGGCTAATCGACATTGAATAGCTCGACGATGCTTGAAGAAAACGTTTTATTGCACTGCCAAATTGAGACATACATGTTTATGACATTCTGGCCCATCACACAGACAACTTCACCTTTCGACTGTGTAATAATAGCATTACTCCTCCACAACTGGGTACATATGTCACACATTATGTTTTTTTATATATGTTAGCTAACATTTTTGAACATATCGTCTGTATAATATTGCTTTATTGCATAGTATTCGAAACGTAAACCAATAGCGTTTAAATAATTATATTTCGGTTTTCTCATATTATAAATTAAGCGAAATATATTTACAAAGTAGATAATGAAACTCGGAATCGTAAAAAAATAATTAATCACTATTCTAATCGTTAAATAATTTTATTTAACTTTGATCAAATGAAATAAAGCTTGAACTCACGAGTTGTCATCACTTTTTGCGAAGTTGCCGCGTGTATTTTGAAACTTGCCGCGTTTAAACGTGTTCGGTGGCGTGCGATCCACGCCGCGGGCGGTGCGACACTGCTGATCTGCTGATAAAATGTCTGATAGCGGACGACACCTATATTACACACATTGTATCCGTTCCTATATAGCATCATAAACATAGCAACGTGCACCTGAGATTATGCACGGGTTATAAAAACATTATTTATAACAATATCATTAGAGATCATGGTAGAGCAGCTTTGAGAGCATATATACACCGTATTATCATGGACCCAAAGGGAAATTAAGGCGCTAGATATAATATGTGTTTGATCATCCATGCTATGACTGGCCATTATCATTGCTTCAGTGTGCTCTTCTTAAGGCGTCATGGAGCCCTTTATGTGTGATTTAGATTAAGAACACATTTTGTATATATTATGTGTTTTGGTAAATCTTAGGTTTAACTAGTAAATATTGGTGAAGCGGAGAGCTAGTGGAAATTAGGTTGTTTAATGAAAATGAACTATAACAAGCACTTAATAATGGGTTTATTAATTATATAAATATAGGGATCACGATACGGTATAGCTATTTATAATATCAAAGATTACTATCGGCATTTTCCCTGTCCCAAAGGTAAAGCCTAAGAATAATTGAATTCATGATAGTAAAAGTTCAAAAAGAACACTAATACAATAGTTCGGACTGTTACCATTAAAATTGGTAAATTAGGTTTCACAGGAAGATTCTTGTTCTTACGATCTCGTAAGATTTAACGTACTTCTGATATATAAATATATAGTTCTTAAAATGGATGAATTTAGTAGCACATTTAACGACTAGAATTTGAATAATTCATGTCAATGAAATTGCGGACTGAAGCAAATAACATGATAACTATAATATACATTACTTTGAATAATTTTATCCCTACAAGTTCAGGAAAATATATTCGTAAGCGGATGTGAGAATAGTTAGAGTATCATATATTTACATTTATGCTAGTAGTTCTACAGTCTCAGGTGCCCGAGATGGAATTGAAACCCAAAAACGAGGACTACAGTTATATGGTTCAAACCATACGCCAACTAAAGCAAATTGACAATGACAGAAGGGAAAATGTCAAATTGAGACGTGTTGACTTAATTTGGTCGGGTAATGATTTGAACCTGGCACTAAATTTCGTCCTCGATATATAATAAGATGGTTTAAATTTCGTAAATCGGGCTGCCTCATATATATATGTTCTTTTGATCACTGTTGTTGTTTTTCTTTTAAAAAGACACAAAATAAGTTACCAGTTGCCAAATAAGTAATAGCTCCTGCTAGTGATTCAAGGGAATACAATATCAACAAAACTTTGAAATTGTTTCTCAGATTATCGTTAAGCAAACGACGAGATATGACGTAGCTTTCTTTAGATATAGCCTTAGAAGATTGTCTTTACGTGATGCTTTTATGGAATTTTAAAGAAAGTTTTATTTGTTTGAACCTTAATGCTGAACAATAAACTGTTTTTGACAGTGAGGTCTATATGCTCTCGTCTTGGCAACATTTTACATGAAAATGTTTTTGATGTGACAATATTTAGTTGTAAAGCGATAAAAGTTTAGGATAATAATCTATTCAGCCATCGAAAATTGTCAACGGCATCTGATATAAATTGATCAATATACCATCTGAAGTGCGACCGGTCGTGTGTTTGCGAAATTTGCAAAATTTTACGACTGTAACAACTGCTGAAACTAAATTGGCCCAAGATACTAGTGAAATAAATAGCATACATTTATAAATAATTTCATATGGACCTATTAACTCATTGAGAGCAAATATTTTAAATATGTTTCTTTTAAATAATAACTTTACTAGTATATTCTATAATCCAATCCCATTGGATATTTGTCAACACAATGTTAACTACTGAACTTAGATATATCAAGATATAATTATACTCTTTGTATGGAAATGAGAAACAAAATAGCATAAATTAACATTATACATAAAGAGTGTGGATATGCAGATTGTCAATGGGCATCGTTAACGATGCCAAAATTACCCACCGTTACTCGATACGAGTATCGAGATTTATTATTTATAAATCGAACGTATCGAATAGGTACTAAAGAGTGCTTGAGACCTCTTTCGTCGTAAATATTGTTTTTTACAGTCTGAACATCTGATTTTTAAGGGACATTTCACATATGCCATTTATAACATTTTTATTGATCTGAGCTGGATATGAGTAAAATAATACTTTATTTATAATTGTAAATGTTTCATATTATCAGTATTTCAACACTGCAAACTCACGGTACGCTTAGAAAAATGTGGCGTCCCAATTTTTGGCGTGCGCCATGCACAGCTTCACAAAAAAAATCTTTTGTCGTCATTTTTTTCCTGTCAGGTAATTTGGCAAGTTGTGATTTATAAGTGAAGTTATTAGGCCGTTTGAAGTAATACCAACCTTTGTGTCCAACGCCTTATTATTTATAGCTTCCGGGGCATGGTTAAGGCAAATTACCTTTTCGGGTTTTAAAATCATATGTGAGAAAAGGAAGGCAGAGATTTACCAAACGTCTAAGTCAAGTAGGAAAAAAGGATAAACTGAATCTTAAAATTAGTTATACCTAGTTTTTGGTGTGCTAAAAATGTGATATTTCTTTGAATGCGCAGATTATATCTTTCAATACTTTGTTTAAACTAATTAAAAATGTATAAAAGTCAGTTGAGGATAATTACTTTGAAAACTAGTTGTAAGAAAACCAAATTCTGAAATAATGATTATTTGAAACTGATGTTGATTTAATAAATGCCTTTCAGCTGCTAATTTCTTAGACGTTACTCAGTTCAATTTTATCTATCTGATCATGATAGAATAATTGCAAAACTTATAAAACAGAATTTATTCTTTGTACTGTAGGTATAACATTTTAGAAAACCTACGGAGAACGTCGTAAATACACTTCTAGAGATCAGTGTAATTAACCGTTTAAAATAAGTGACGCGCAGGTAATCGAATTTATTACGAATCGTTTGCAGTAGGGACTTAATTGAAATTGACGTCCTAAGCGTACTTAGTATAACGGACCTATGCTTTAATAGGAAATAAACAAATCTATTTCTTACTAAGGAAAGGCACGCCGACGCAAGTTGAATTTAAATGTACATAGGTATTTATCGATTCGTATAAAAAAAGAGCATTATATCCAGGAAAAAATAAACAAATTAGTAAGTTTTTTTGCGGGATAATTTAGAAATTATTTATTTAAAAACATATAATTTTATAAAAGAATTTATTTCTTATTTATAAATATTGAATTTCCCACCTCATCTTGATGGGTAAATTAAAAAAATGTATTTATGAGTATTATATATTTAAAAACAGTTTTTTTTATTTAATATAGAAATTCCGTCAGTTCGGATATATGGAAAGAGTACTGGACGAACTAATGACCAGTGGTCGGAATTAGGTAGAGTTATTCATGTACTTACACTGATTTCATACAGCGAAAGAATAAAGTGGATATGCCTCAAATCCCGAGATTAATTTTAAAGAGCAGAAAAAATCCCGTGATTTTTTTAATAAAAAGTGATTTACTTTTACACAATTTAAACTACTGCACGCACGACATTGCCAAACTTACATCAATGACATCGGATGTCGAAAGTTGCAAAATACCAATACGCGCGATGTTGCCACGAAGGTCCACATTAATATCAACATTTCGATCAAGTACATAAATAACTCTACCTAATTCCGACCTCTGCTAATGACGTAAATAAAGAAATCCCACTCGAAAGTGGAAGATAGGATGCACACGCTTATAACGATATCAAGTGATGTAGAAGCTACAAAAACATGTTAACATCAAATAATACCTGTTAGATTTTATTACCTATAGGTTAATCGGTACACAACATGCTATATACAATGGAAATTTAATAAAGTCTTATAATAATATATTGATCAATCAAATACATAAATTTCACATAGTGTCTTAGTAATATAAAGTATTGTGACATGCTCAATGGAAAGGTACTAAAATAGTTTGATTCATCAATTACAATTTGTACAACTGGAAACATATTTGTCTGAGTTGGATAAAAAATATTTATCTGTATTTCAGACAGTGCCCTTCCATAGAAATACATTACTTAATTACTTTGAGGAATGATGTCAAATAAATATAATTTCAATTGATATAGTTTAAAAAAGGTAAAATAAATCATATGTAAAATATTTTGATCAACAATACAACTGTTGATCGAAGGTAAAATATGAATTAAATCAAAAAATCGTATTGAATGACGTCAATAGAATAAAAACATTAAATATTAATAGTAGATTTGATTTAAAATACAAATAAAATATTATAATTAAATTATTAAAATGGCAAAAACTGAATAAAAATAAAATTAAAAATGAATAAAAATGTTGGAAATTTGTGTAGTATATGGCCTTCCTATGTTTTTCATGCACGTGAATGTATGTGTGTGAGGGAGTATGGAAAACTAATTTAATATAGACAGCAAATTCTCAGTTTCGTCATATGTCATAATGAATGTGTGTAAAAGAAGTGAAATACGTTTGTAAGAACCATGACACAGACTATATTCTGTGATCATATCTTGTAACACTCGCTTTTTACTACCTACCCCGAAAAGGATTCAGCTAAGATATATGTTGCCGACGACGACGACAATAGAACCTTTTTATAGTTTTTGTTTATTTTTAAAACTTTTAATATTGTCTTTTGTTTTATTATGTCATTATAGAAAAAGATATCGAAGCCCACAGTTTTTTATTTTTGAATTAATATAAATATACCTAAACATACATAAATCTTACCTATAAAAAAAAAATCAAGAAACTGTAGATTTTTTACCGTGATGTATCTTACGACTTCTTAAAGATATAAAAAAGATGAATCGTTAATCATTTTCCATGAAGGTTATACAAGCCGCGTTGTGACCTGTCTGACGATAAATCAACAAAACCTCGCACATCGTTCGATCACATGATTACCCTAGAAAATGCCTCATAATGTCCCCATTTCTGGGTATGTGCCTTCCAAAGGGGATTGGTGGGTCT